AATTCTCTTTAACCCATCAAAGGGCTTTGGAAAATATACAGGAAATTCTCTTTAACATATTAAAGGGCCCCGGAATACATACAGGCAATTCTCTTTAACCCATTGAAGGGCCCTGGAATACATACAGGCAATTATCTTTAACCCATTAAGGCGCCCTGGAATACATACAGGCAATTATCTTTAGCCCATTAAGGGGCCCTGGAATACATACAGGCCATTTCGACATACAATGAGGCACAAAGATGAATCCTGTTCTGTTAGAAATCATAGGAGCTGGATAGGTCACGTATGCCGCCTTTACACCCGATGATATTTCCTAGTACCAACTTTAGACTGAGTGGCATGAGACTCTCAGCTCACTAACAACTAACTCACTAACGACTAACCCACTAATGACTAACCCACTAATGACTAACCCACTAACGACTAATTCACTATCGACTAACCCACTAATGACTAACCCACTAACGACTAACCCACTAACGACTAACCCGCTAATGACTAACCCACTTACGACTAACTCACTAACGACTAACCCACTAATAGCTAACTCACTAACGACTAATCCACTAACGACTAACCCACTAATGACTAACCCAGTAACGACTAACCCACTAACAACAATCCCACTAACGACTAACCCACCAACGACTAACTCACTTACAACTGACCCACTAACGTCTAACCCACTAACAACTAACCCACTAATGACTAACCCACTAACGACTAACTCACTAATGACTAACCCACTAACGACTAACTCACTAACGACTAACTCACTAACGACTAACCCACTAACGACTAACCCACTAACGACTAACTCACTAACGACTAACCCACTAATAACTAACCCACTAACGACTAACCCACTAACAACAATCCCACTAACGACTAACCCACCAACGACTAACTCACTTACAACTGACCCACTAACGTCTAACCCACTAACAACTAACCCACTAAAGACTAACCCACTAACAACTAACCCACTAATGACTTACCCACTAACGACTAACCCACTAACGACTAACCCAGAAACGACTAAGCCAGTAACGACTAACCCACTTACGACTAACCCACTAACAACTAACCCACTAACGACTAACCCACTAACGACTAACCCACTAACAACTAACCCACTAACGACTAACCCTTTAACAACTAACCCACTAACGACTAACCCAGTAACGACTAACCCACTAACGACTAACCCAGTAACGACTAACCCACTAACAACTAACCCACTAACAACTAACCCAGTAACGACTAACCCACTAACGACTAACCCACTAACGACTAACCCACTAACGACTAACCCAGTAACGACTAACCCACTAACAACTAACCCACTAACAACTAACCCAGTAACGACTAACCCAGTAACGACTAACCCACTAACGACTAACCCACTAACGACTAACCCACTAACGACTAACCCAGTAACGACTAACCCAGTAACGACTAACCCACTAACGACTAACCCACTAACGACTAACCCACTAACGACTAACACTAACCCACTAACGACTAACCCACTAACAACTAACCCACTAACGACTAACCCACTAACAACTAACCCACTAACGACTAACCCACTAACAACTAACCCAGTAACGACTAACCCAGTAACAACTAACCCAGTAACGACTAACCCACTAACGACTAACCCACTAACGACTAACCCAGTAACGACTAACCCAGTAACAACTAACCCACTAACGACTAACCCACTAACAACTAACCCACTAACGACTAACCCAGTAACGACTAACCCAGTAACAACTAACTCACTAACGACTAACCCACTAACAACTAACCCACTAACGACTAACCCACTAACGACTAACCCAGTAACAACTAACCCACTAACGACTAACCCACCAACGACTAACCCACTAACGACTAACCCACTAACGACTAACTCACTAACGACTAACTCACTAACGACTAACCCACTAACGACTAACCCACTAACGACTAACTCACTAACAACTAACCCACTAATAACTAACCCACTAACGACTAACCCACTAACAACAAACCCACTAACGACTAACCCACCAACGACTAACTCACTTACAACTGACCCACTAACGTCTAACCCACTAACAACTAACCCACTAAAGACTAACCCACTAACAACTAACCCACTAATGACTTACCCACTAACGACTAACCCACTAACGACTAACCCAGAAACGACTAAGGCCAGTAACGACTAACCCACTTACGACTAACCCACTAACAACTAACCCACTAACGACTAACCCACTAACGACTAACCCACTAACAACTAACCCACTAACAACTAACCCACTAACGACTAACCCAGTAACGACTAACCAACTAACGACTAACCCAGTAACGACTAACCCACTAACAACTAACCCACTAACAACTAACCCAGTAACGACTAACCCACTAACGACTAACCCACTAACGACTAACCCAGTAACGACTAACCCACTAACAACTAACCCACTAACAACTAACCCAGTAACGACTAACCCAGTAACGACTAACCCAGTAACGACTAACCCACTAACGACTAACCCACTAACGACTAACCCACTAACGACTAACCCACTAACGACTAACCCAGTAACGACTAACCCACTAACGACTAACCCACTAACGACTAATCCACTAACGACTAACCCACTAACAACTAACCCACTAACGACTAACCCACTAACGACTAACCCACTAACAACTAACCCACTAACGACTAACCCAGTAACGACTAACCCAGTAACGACTAACCCAGTAACGACTAACCCACTAACGACTAACCCAGTAACGACTAACCCAGTAACAACTAACCCACTAACGACTAACCCACTAACAACTAACCCACTAACGACTAACCCAGTAACGACTAACCCAGTAACAACTAACCCACTAACGACTAACCCACTAACCCACTAACGACTAACCCACTAACGACTAACCCACTAACGACTAACCCACTAAGGACTAACCCACTAACGACTAACCCACTAACGACTAACCCAGTAACGACTAACCCACTAACGACTAACCCACTAACGACTAACCCACTAACAACTAACCCACTAACGACTAACCCACTAACAACTAACTCACTAACGACTAACCCACTAACGACTAACCCAGTAATGACAAGAAAGGCCTTGAGGCTTACAAGCGAGCATTGAGCCGCAGTGCCACCATGGCCCCCAAGTAATGTTTGACCTCCAAGCTGACCCCCGACTGACCACGATGACGTCAGTCTGATTCATCATCTTAACGTCCCTTTTCCTTGAATTATTTCCCCTTAGCTGTCCCCCTCATCGCGTCACTTGTCCTCCTTCATCCATCAATAGTTTTCCCCTAGGAGATGACTAATTAATGGCTGCCATCTGCAGATTTTTTCCCCCGTTGGATTCTGCACCCGCCATTGGTTAAGACGCGATGGCTGGGATCCATACTTTCTCCTCACCCAAACCTCACTTCTTGACGACCAATCAGGGGCGTTGAACTCGAGGGCACCCTCAGTAATTCTTCTCTTGAGTCTTAGAAAATGGGTAAAGGCTTGAGTCGTCCGCTGTCTTAGTCTTCGGTAGGGGCTGAGTGGTCTCGAGGTATGGTATCCGCCTCGAGTGCTGGATGTCCAGGGTTTAAGACCCCGGTGAAAGCCGGGCTTTTTCCTCTGGTCTTTGGTCTCGGACGCCCGTGTGTATTCTTGCGCACGTAAAAAAAATCCAGTGGCAAATGGAAATCGAAAAGAATAGCCTAACGGCGCTGACCAGGCAAAATTTTGAGTTAAAAATCTGCACAAAGTATTTCAGAATCCTCGCCAGTCCATCGGAATTCGTGCACTGTGCTGAGATTCGTTAGACTCCGGCTTGGGTTAGAAGTAAAACGGAGCAATTATGGGTTACACCCGTGTTCAGTGATGTTAATCCGTCGAATAAACATAGTTAGTTGCTTATCCTTTACAGGACGTTGCCTCTGGACGGTCGGCTTCTCGATACCATTGTTGAAACCAACACAAGGCGTAAGGTCCGCAGCTGGGATCAAACCCGCCAACCCGGCATTACAACGCGCGTTCGTAACGCCTAAGGCACTGACACCAACTCAAATGAACATGAACAGTCCTAATCGGTGTTTCAACATCACCACACTCGGGTTTCCCCACACCTGCTCCATTCCTGTGCCAGTCAAAATCAAATGAAATGTCCCTCACTGTCCCATTTGAAAAACTGATGAACAAACAATTAGTCCTGGCACAATCCTTAAATATAATCACGCAGTACATGCCTATGGCAGTTGTTAGAGGTGCCAAAGCCAACAGTCGCCAACAGAAATGTAGTGTGTTGTTGATGAAAGTAGTCGGGCACGATAAGTTGTCTATATACTAGGATAGTTGCGTATCCTTTACAGGACGTTGCAGAACCAACCCAAACAGCCCTAGCTGTTGTGTGGTTTTACTAGGCAAATTTACGTCCAGTAGTTTGCCATTGCTCCCTGAACGGTCAGCTGTCTTGATACCACTGTCGCAACCAACGCAAAGCCCGAAGCCCGCAGCTGGGATCGAGCCCGGCATCCTGGCATTACGAAGCGTTCGCATCAACTTAGCCACAGAGCCGACTGATGTCTACATACACGTAGAATTATTAGTTCCCAGAGCCAGGCATTAAGGTTCTCTTTAGCCCCGTCCTACCCAGTCTGGGCTTCAGGTTGCTTTGTGTCTGTCGGGAGCCCTAATTATAACCTTATAAATTAAAAGTTCTTTTTCCACGCCTTTAGGCGTATAGGGCATATAGGGTAGACCTATATTTTATAGACCATAGAATATGGGTGATGTGGTCAGCATCAGGCCGGCCGCCTTTACTTCCCGGGACTGCACCTGGTACCCACTCAAGGCAGGGAGTCAACAAAACACTTATTTATATTACACTTTTCATGTTCTAGTTCTCATCTGCTCTAGTAGTGACGGTATCTGGATAAAGTTTTGAGCAACTTCTAACTATCCTTACCTCTCAGCGGTGAAGACTCCGTTCTCTCCTCTAAACATATTGATAACTCCTGAAACAGAATAATAACAGTAATAATAACGTAAACAATATTAACAAAGATGGTGGAATAATAATAATAATACTCGTCTTACTGGGAGTTGCCGTGGTCTAGCGGCCAGACCCTCGAGTGCAAATCGAAGCTCGTGGGTTCAAGCCCTGATGGAGCCGCACTTGTCCCTTGTCAAAAATGACCTGGAAGCTTCCAGGTCGGTTAAGTATTAAAGGTGAGGTCACGGGAAGTCAATGCGGCTTGCGTGATGCTGACCACCTTACACACTAGGTGTTGATTGGTGTTTAAGTATAGGTTCAGCCCTATATGCCCTGTAGCGTGAAGGCGTATAAAACGGTCATTTACTTTACTTAGTGATAGCTGTAGCAGTAGTTGTTGTAGCAGCAGTTGTTGTAGTAGTAGTAGTAGTAATAGTAACAGTAGTAGTTGTTGTAGTAGTAGTTGTAGTAGTAGTAGTAGTAGTAGTAGTAATAGTAACAGTAGTAGTTGTAGTAGTAGTTGTAGTAGTAGTTGTAGTAGTAGTAGTAGTAGTAGTAATAGTAACAGTAGTAGTTGCTGTAGTAGTAGTTGTAGCAGTAGTAGTAGTAGTAATAGTAACAGTAGTAGTTGTTGTAGTAGTAGTTGTTGTAGTAGTAGTAGTAGTAGTAGTAATAGTAACAGTAGTAGTTGTTGTAGCAGTAGTTGTAGCAGTAGTAGAAGTAGTAATAATAACAGTAGTAGTTGTTGTAGTAGTAGTTGTAGCAGTAGTAGTAGTAGTAATAGTAACAGTAGTAGTAGCTGTAACTGTAGTTGTAGCAGTAGTAGAAGTAGTAATAGTAACAGTAGTAGTTGTTGTAGTAGTAGTTGTAGCAGTAGTAGTAGTAGTAATAGTAACAGTTGTAGTTGTTGTAGTAGTAGTTGTAGCAGTAGTAGTAGTAGTAATAGTAACAGTAGTAGTTGTTGTAGGAGGAGGAGCAGCAGCAACAGCAGTAGTAGCATGTGTAGTAAAAGTAGTAGTATATTTTGTTGTTGTTGTTGTAAGTAAAAAAGCAACACTTATAAAAATTAAACACAGTCATTATTTCTGGTTCATGTTATCGGAACATGGAAACTACAACAGGTTCTGACCACTGGGAAGATCTGTGGACAGACAGACAAGAGGAAGTGAACAGGAAAGGCCTCTTGACAGCCTTCTGTAGTGGCATGTAGGGGTGTCAGTCAACACATCAACTGATTAATGCTGTCGAGAATTGTAGACTGTCAAAAAGGACAATAGCCCACGTCAGTCAGCAAGACATTCACGATGATGATGATGATGATGATGATGTTGGTGATGTTGATGTTGATATTGATGATGTTTATGATGTTGATGATGTTAATTATGTTGATGATGTTCATGATGATGATGATGTTGATGTTGATGATGGTGATGATGATGATGTTCATGATGATGATGATAATGTTCATGATGATGATGATGTTGATGATGGTAATGATGTTGATGTTGATGATGTTAATGATGTTCATGATGATGATGTTCATGATGATGATGATGTTCATGATGATGATGATGTTCATGATGATGATGGTGTTGATGTTGATGATGATGATTGTGGTGGCCATGTGTAACAATCATTCAACCAGCGAATACATGCAAGCATATTCTGTTGCTATTCCCAGTGCCTGAACGTTACTCAGCAAACGATATTCATGTGTGTTACGAAACACGAGGGGAGAGACCGCGAAAAAACACACCTTTACTCACCCACTTTGAGGCAAATCTACACACAATCCGCACACAACACCTGTTGGGCGCTTGCTTCCCCCTCTTTCATCCCACCAGTTTCTCATTGGAATGCCTGGATCGAGGTTGGGCAAACGAAATAATCAGCTCAAACTGGCAACTTATTTGGGACGATCCGTTTGGCGGGATCCCAGCAGACAGAAGATATAACAGGTTAGAAAGTGGTTAGACTGCAGACTACAGGGGCAAGTACAAGTATGAATGTTCGCTTCAGCAAATATGTATAGAATAGACAGAATTACATGGTATGATAGAATCACTAACGTACAACTTGGGGAGAGAACTAAACAAATTCCGGTGGACACAGAGGGAAAGAAAAGACGCTGGCGTTGGATAGGACATACGTTGAGAAAACCAGAGAGCAATATAACTGGAACCCACAGGGGAATTTTAAAAAAAAAACCCCCCCCCCCCCCCCCCCCCCACCCCCCCCCCCCCCCCCCCCCCCCCCCCCCCCCTCTCTCCAAAAAAAAAATATGGAGAAGGAAGCTAGAAATCACAGTAGCCAAGCGATTGTCTGGTTAACCCGGTAATATTGTTCTTAAGGTCGTCATGAGTGGTAATCTCCTGACATCATGGTGTAGACGAACACGACGAAGTCATAATGACAGTTTAAAGATGGCACCCCCACTTTTGACATGCACCAAAAAAGAGCAGCTTTCTAATTTAAATCAGTGAAAAACCTTTAAAAAATTCATCAGTGAATGAAGGTCCAGTACAGTTATGGATACCTGTCAGTCCGGTAAGTGTGTGGGTGAAGCAGCAAGTGTGTGGGTGCAGCAACAAGTGTGTGGGGAAGCAGCAAGTGTGTGGGTGAAGCAGCAAGTGTGTGGGTGAAGCAGCAACTGTGTGGGTGAAACAGCAAGTGTGTGGGTGGAGCAGCAAGTGTGTGGGTGGAGCAGCAACTGTGTGGGTGAAGCAGCAAGTGTGTGGGTGAAGCAGCAAGTGTGTGGGTGGAGCAGCAAGTGTGTGGGTGGAGCAGCAACTGTGTGGGTGGAGCAGCAACTGTTTGGGTGGAACAGCAACTGTGTGGGTGGAGCAGCAACTGTGTGGGTGGAGCAGCAACTGTGTGCGTGGAGCAGCAACTGTGTGGGTGGAGCAGCAAGTGTGTGGGTGGAGCAGCAACTGTGTGGGTGGAGCAGCAACTGTGTGGGTGGAGCAGCAAGTGTGTGGGTGGAGCAGCAACTGTGTGGGTGGAGCAGCAACTGTGTGGGTGGAGCAGCAAGTGTGTGGGTGGAGCAGCAACTGTGTGGATGGAGCAGCAAGTGTGTGCGTGGAGCAGCAAGTGTGTGAGTGAAGCAGCAGGTGTGTGGGTGGAGCAGCAAGTGTGTGGGTGAAGCAGTAAGTGTGTGGGTGGAGCAGCAAGTGTATGGGTGGAGCAGCAAGTGTGTGGATGGAGCAGCAAGTGTGTGGGTGGAGCAGCAAGTGTGTGGGTGAAGCAGCAAGTTTTGACAGCGGCCTGACTTCTGTGATAGACTGTTCACGCCCGGGTCAGGCTCACCCAGCAGTGACCCCAGAGTCGAGTGCAGCTGTTATTGTACTTGTTTCTTTTATACAGTATATCAAAAACAGTATAGCATACAGTATAGCATACAAACAGTATATCATGCAAACAGTATAGCACACAGTATAGGATACAAACAGTATATCATGCAAACAGTATGACATGCAAACAGTATAGGATACAAACAGTATATCATTCAAACAGTATAGAATACAAACAGTACAGCACACAAACAGTATAGAACACAAATAGTTTAGCGCACAAACAGTATAGCACACAAACAATATAGCACTCAAACTGTGTAGCAAACAAGCAGTATAGCACGCACACAGTACAGCATGCAAACAGTATAGCACACAACAATATGATTTTCAAACAATATAGCATTCAAACAGTATAGCAAGCAAACAATATAGCATACAAGCAGTAACGCATGCAAACAGTATAGCACAGAAACAGTAGAACACACAAAGTATAAAACACAAACAGTATAGCATACAAACAGTGTAGCACATAAACAGTATAACACACAGTATAACATACAAAAAGTATAGCATACAAACAGTATAGCACACAAGCAGTATAGCATATAAACAGTATAGCACACAAGCAGTGTCGCACTCATACAAACAGGAACATCTACTTACAGACAATGACTCGTCCATATTATAATTTGCCAAATTAAATCCAGTTTTCTGTTTCCAAAGTTTATCATCGAGGGCTTGATGCAAATCCGGGCTCAGATAGAAACATTCTGAAACGATTTAGTTCATCATCATCATCATCATCACCACCACAATCATTACCATTATCACCAGCATCACTATCATTATCATGATCACCATAATAATAATCATCATTACCACCACAACCACCACCACAATCATCATCATCATCACCACCACAATCATCATCAATATCATCACCATTATTACTACTACCACCACCGCTATCACCATCAGCAGGACCATCACCACCACAATCATCATCAGTAGGACCATCACCACCACAATCATCATCAATATCATCACCATTATTACTACTACCACCACCGCTATCACCATCAGCAGGACCATCACCACCACAATCATCATCAATATCATCACCATTATTACTACTACCACCACCACAATCACCACCAGTAGGACCATCACCACCACAATCATCATCAATATCATCACCATTATTACTACTACCACCACCGCTATCACCATCAGCAGGACCATCACCACCACAATCATCATCAATATCATCACCATTATTACTACTACCACCACCACAATCACCACCAGTAGGACCATCACCACCACAATCATCATCAATATCATCACCATTATTACTACTACCACCACCGCTATCCCCATCAGTAGGACCATCACCACCACAATCCCCATCAGCAGGACCATCACCACCACAATCATCATCAATATCATCACCATTATTACTACTACCACCACCACAATCACCACCAGTAGGACCATCACCACCACAATCATCATCAATATCATCACCATTATTACTACTACCACCACCGCTATCCCCATCAGCAGGACCATCACCACCACAATCACCATCAGCAGGACCATCACCACCACAATCATCATCAATATCATCACCATTATTACTACTACCACCACCACAATCACCACCAGTAGGACCATCACCACCACAATCATCATCAATATCATCACCATTATTACTACTACCACCACCGCTATCCCCATCAGCAGGACCATCACCACCACAATCCCCATCAGCAGGATCATCACCACCACAATCCCCATCAGCAGGATCATCACCACCACAATCACCATCAGCAGGATCATCACCACCACAATCACCATCAGCAGGATCATCACCACCACTATCACCATTGTCACCATCACCATTATCATCATCTATCATCATCATCGCCATCATCATCATCATCAAACACCGGAGGACTGGCGTTAGCAACCAAGATTCACCACAACTTGCAAATCTCTAACCACATTATCAATTCAAGTGTGGACACTTGTCATGAGTAGCCAAGAACTTTCTTTCTCTCTCTCTCTCTCTCTCTCTCTCTCTCTCTCTCTCTCTCTCTCTCTCTCTCTCTCTCTCTATCTCTCTCTTTCCCTCTCTCTCCCTCTCTTTCTCTCGCACGTTTTCTCTGTTTTCTCTGTCTCTCCATAAATCTCGTCTTATTCTTCTGCGTTGGCACGTTGGTGGCGGGTACGATATGTTGTGGTTTACTGCTAGGCAGCGATATTTGTGTGCAACTCAGATTTGATAAATTCCTAACTTGTCACCTTTTGACGGCATACTTAATTCCCCCCCCCCCCTTTCCCCCCAGGATTGCAGTCTGTCGGATGGACACCTCAAGGATGAGAATCAAACAGGTACAAGTCGGTTCAACACCGCTCAACCGTGAAGCCATATCCTCATGTAACAGGCCTTTTGCAGGACCTCGCTCTCATCATGGTCTGTCTGAAAGAAACTCAGTCTTTCGCCAGCTCTCCCAGCCTCATGTACTTTCATATTCAAGGAGTCCTGTACCCATCTTCGTGTTGGTAGGCCCCTGCACCTCCTTCCTGGTACCATGCGTTATTCTATTGTTTTTCCATTCAACCATGTCGCTTGATATGACCAAAATATTTCATCTTCTGAGACAAGATGCTGTTATGAGCTAATCTTCCTTGATGTTCAGATCTTTTAGCATGTCAGTATTTCTTGTTTTCTTAGTCTATGGTATTCTGAGAATTTGTCTATAGCTTTTCAACATAAAAGCTCCTATTTTCTTTCTCAAAGACTAGAAGATAGTCCACGACTTACATCCGCATGTTGCAACAGGAAAGATAGGAGATAGTCCACGACTCACATCAGTATGTTGCTACAGAAAATTTGGGAGATAGTCCACCACTGACATCAGTATATTGCTACAGGGAAGATGGGAGATAGTCCACGACTCACATCTGCATGTTGCAACACGGAAGATGGGAGATAGTCCACGACTCACATCAGTATGTTGCTACAGGCAAGATGGGAGATAGTCCAAGACTCACATCAGTATGTTGCTACAGGCAAGATGGGAGATAGTCCAAGACTCACATCAGTATGTTGCTACAGGGAAGATGGGAGATAGTCCACGACTCACATCTGCATGTTGCAACAGGGAAGATGGGAGATAGTCCACGACTCACATCAGTATGTTGCTACAGGGAAGATGGGCGATAGTCCACGAGTCACATCAGTATGTTGCTACAGGAAAGATGGGAGATATTCCACGACGCACAACAGTATGTTGCTACAGGGAAGATGGGAGATAGTCCACGAGTCACATCAGTATGTTGCTACAGGAAAGATGGGAGATAGTCCACGACTCACATCTGCATGTTGCAACAGGGAAGATGGGAGATAGTCCACGACTCACATCAGTATGTTGCCACAGGAAAGATGGGAGATAGTCCACGAGTCACATCAGTATGTTGCTACAGGAAAGATGGGAGATATTCCACGACACACAACAGTATGTTGCTACAGGGAAGATGGGAGATAGTCCACGAGTCACATCAGTATGTTGCTACAGGAAAGATGGGAGATAGTCCACGACTCACATCAGTATATTGCTACAGGGAAGATGGGAGATAGTCCACGACTCACATCTGCATGTTGCAACAGGGAAGATGGGAGATAGTCCACGACTCACATCAGTATGTTGCTACAGGCAAGATGGGAGATAGTCCACGAGTCACATCAGTATGTTGCTACAGGAAAGATGGGAGATAGTCCACGACGCACATCAGTATGTTGCTACAGGAAAGATGGGAGATAGTTCACGACTCACATCAGTATGTTGCTACAGAAAATTTGGGAGATAGTCCACCACTCACATCAGTATGTTGCTACAGGGAAGATGGGAGATAGTCCACGACTCACATCTGCATGTTGCAACAGGGAAGATGGGAGATAGTCCACGACTCACATCAGTATGTTGCTACAGGGAAGATGGGAGATAGTCCACGAGTCACATCAGTATGTTGCTACATGAAAGATGGGAGATAGTCCACCACTCACATCAGTATGTTGCTACAGGAAAGATGGGAGATAGTCCACGATTCACATCCATATGTTGCTACAGGAAAGATGGGAGATAGTCCACGACGCACATCAGTATGTTGCTACAGAAAATTTGGGAGATAGTCCACCACTGACATCAGTATATTGCTACAGGGAAGATGGGAGATAGTCCACGACTCACATCTGCATGTTGCAACACGGAAGATGGGAGATAGTCCACGACTCACATCAGTATGTTGCTACAGGCAAGATGGGAGATAGTCCAAGACTCACATCAGTATGTTGCTACAGAAAATTTGGGAGATAGTCCACCACTCACATCAGTATGTTGCTACAGGGAAGATGGGAGATAGTCCACGACTCACATCTGCATGTTGCAACAGGGAAGATGGGAGATAGTCCACGACGCACAACAGTATGTTGCTACAGGGAAGATGGGAGATAGTCCACGAGTCACATCAGTATGTTGCTACAGGAAAGATGGGAGATAGTCCACGACTCACATCTGCATGTTGCAACAGGGAAGATGGGAGATAGTCCACGACTCACATCAGTATGTTGCCACAGGGAAGATGGGAGATAGTCCACGAGTCACATCAGTATGTTGCTACAGGAAAGATGGGAGATATTCCACGACGCACAACAGTATGTTGCTACAGGGAAGATGGGAGATAGTCCACGAGTCACATCAGTATGTTGCTACAGGAAAGATGGGAGATAGTCCACGACTCACATCAGTATGTTGCTACAGGGAAGATGGGAGATAGTCCACGAGTCACATCAGTATGTTGCTACAGGAAAGATGGGAGATAGTCCACGACGCACATCAGTATGTTGCTACAGGGAAGATGGGAGATAGTCCACGACTCACATCAGTATGTTGCTACAGGGAAGATGGGAGATAGTCCACGACTCACATCAGTATGTTGCTACAGGGAAGATGGGAGATAGTCCACGACTCACATCAGTATGTTGCTACAGGGAAGATGGGAGATAGTCCACGACTCACATCAGTATGTTGCTACAGGGAAGATGGGAGATAGTCCACGATTCACATCAGTATGTTGCTTCAGGGAAGATGCAGGCTCTCAAAATTATAACTTTGATTTTACTCGCTGGTTCTTCGCCAAAGACTTTCAATGCTGTTTTATCTTTGCATTGCTATGACCATCCTCCTTGTATAGCCATAAAATAAACTTCCCTTTTCCCCGCCTTCGTGCTTACTGGGCATATAGGGCTAGACGTATATTTTACAGACCAGTCGGCACTCGCAGGGTGATGTGGTCAATATCACGCCGGCCGTCTTGACTTCCCAGGCTCTACTTGTTACCCATTCAAGGATAGTTCGACCTGACAGCCCAGTTACTTTTTGAAAAAAAAATATATATATAGCATTGTTATAACCGTCTTCTCATTGGAACAATCAGTAGAGGTACCTTAGAGTGGCTGCTGCATCGGAGGACTGAGCAGGCATAGGATTGCCCAATGTGCCAAGACGTCTATTGTTATGTTGGGGTACCACACAAATCTATGTCAAAAGAACCTGTACTGAAGTGTGAGTGAGTCTTGTGTGAACGATATGCATGTCACAAGAGTGTCTAAATCAACCCACACGTAAAGTTAGATAAGCAGCTGTTAACCGTTTCTTAAACGTGAAAGACAGAATCTAGAATCCGCACCTACCTTCTTTGCTTTGAAGATGTCCCATTTTACGCTAGAAACGTTACTCCATTGCGATCCTGACTTAGATCAAGTATCCAAAGAAAAGCTGCACACAGCTACACACAGCCAAAAGTAAACAGGCAGAACCACAACAGATAGCTTTGCCAGCAGGGGAGCAACACTCCACTCACGGAAAATCACCAACTGGCGAGACAGAAGCGTCTCGCAGACACAGGCATCCATTGATGTCTTGTTTGATTCTTTCCACGACTTGGTGCAGACAATCTGTGGGCGGAGCTACATACTTCTTCAGCAGGGGTTCCTCTCTCCTGACCTGGTTATTGACTTCCGTGGAGCACATCTCCTCTCCCTCCCTCTCTCCTCTCCCTCCCTCTATTCTCTCCGAATTAATCGCAGTCTAAACAAGATAGGCAAGAAAAGCGGTGGAAGTTGGTAAGAAAAAACATAATGAATATGTCAGCTTTACAACAACAAAATTATAATTAACAAACAGAAGACGTTGCGGCGATTAGCCTTCATCGGCAGGCCAACGAAAAGAAAACAAAACGCGCACAAAAATATACTGACAGTAAAACGATAACATTAGAATGTTGTATATGAGACTGAGCTGAAGTTATAATAAACGACAGAATTACATAACATACCTGATACTTACCTGGACGGCTCTGAATGTTGCAAAGGCAAATAAATCAAACAGATATAACCTTTCACAGGCAGTCACCTCATTTGGATAGAAACAATCGTAAGTAGGGTCTTGGGGCGACAGACAGACATACAATGAAACACACATTGCAGCGAACTGTTGAGCACTCATAGAGGCAGAAGAATGAAACAAGAATTGTCTCTTTTAGATTGAATACTATAGCACATGCCCCTCCTCCTCCTTCTCTCTCTCTCTCTCTCTCTCTCTCTCTCTCTCTCTCTCTCTCTCTCTCTCTCTCTCTCTCTCTCTCTCTCTCTCTCTCTTGCTCTCTGTGTGTGAGTCTGTCTCTGTTGTTCTATGCAATACTTCACCGTTGCTTTGCCTATCATTACTGGTGACTTTGATCTGTTTTTCTTCTTCCCTCTTCACCTGGTAAATTTACTTGCCATTCCTAATCGTAGCCATTGAAGTACTAATAATAATAATAATAATAATAATAATAATAATAATAATAATAATAATAATAATAATAATAATAATGTGTTTCACTGACAAATGTAGATAACTGTATACTTGGAACATTGGCACCAGAACTTAGGATATCAGGCCGCTTAAAAAAAGAAGGGGCTGATGATAGTGATAATGTTGGTGATAATGACGATCATTATTATCATCATCATTATCTTCATGAAGAAGAAGAAGAAGAAGAAGAAGAAGAAGAAGAAGAAGAAGAAGAAGAAGAAGAAGAAGAAGAAGAAGAAGAAGAAGAAGAAGAAGAAGAAGAAGAAGAAGAAGAAGAAGAAGAAGAAGAAGAAGAAGAAGAAGAAGAAGAAGAAGAAGAAGAAGAAGAAGAAGAAGAAAAATCCAAACGTATAATAATAGTAAGGTTAGCTATCGACATTTACAGCTCCTTTCTCCCCTCCGCACCCCCCCCCCCCACCACCGCACCCCTTCCCCCACCCACCTCCAGGTTATCGCAAGTTTCTTCTAGTAAGTTCCCATTCACAAACTACCAGTTGCTACAAATTAGTCTGTGATGTCAATAATTAATTTGTTCTGACCATTTATGTCCAAAAACACGACTCAAGTGGCAACTTCCGGTCGCAAGAACTCTTTACGCTAACCACTTCCGTCATAAACTGTCATGGCGATCTATATTGGGAAGTTCAAGTCGGAGTTCGTCTTTTTGTTCAGTTCGTTTAATAATAATCTGGTACTGTTAAACCCGAAAACCGCAAAATACGTCACTGTATATATTTCCATACTGGTTAATGATATTCTAAGTTGGGGGGAAACGCGTCAAATTTGTAGTTAGGGTAATCACCGAACGACGCATGCGTGTACAAATATACAGGTCTGCTGTCCACACTTTCCCGAGTGTAAAGCCATGTGGTGCAACGTGTATTATTTAGTCGAATCGTTACTCAGTAGGTTATGGGTTCTGTAGCCACAGGTCGTCTTTACTTTCTATGTCATTTCCGTACCCATCCACAAAGAAGCAGTCTATCTATCTATCTATCTATCTATCTATCTATCTATCTATCTATCTATCTATCTATCTATCTATCTATCTATCTATCTATCTATCTATCTATCTATCTATCTATCTATCTATCTATCTATCTATCTATCTATCTATCTATCTATCTGTCTTCCTGTCTGTCTGCCTGCCTGAGTGTCTGCGTGTGTTTCTATATGTGTCTCTAAGTGCGTGTGTGTGTGTGTCTGTTTGTGTCTGTGTGTGTGTTTTTGCATATATGTTTATCTATACATGTATGTATGTATGTATGTATGTATGTATGTATGTATGTATATATGTATGTGTGTGTGTGTGTATGTATGTACGTATGTATGTATGTATGTATGTATGTATGTATGTATGTATGTATGTATGTATGTATGTATGTATGTATGTATGCATGTATGTGTGTTTGTGTGTGTGTGTGTGTCTGTCTGTCTGTCTGTCTGTCTGTATGTATGTATTTATGTATTTATGTATGTGTGTATGTATGTATGTATGTATGAATGCATGTGTGTATGTATGTAATATGTATGTATGTCTGTATGTGTGTGGGTGTGTGTGTTATGTGTGCAGGTGTGTGTGTTATGTGTGCGGGTGTGTGTGTTATGTATGTGGGTGTGTGTGTTATGTGTGTGGGTGTGTGTGTGTTATGTGTGTGGGTGTGTGTGTTATGTATGTGGGTGTGTGTGTTATGTATGTGGGTGGGTGTGTTATATGTGTGGGTGTGTGTGTTATGTATGTGGGTGTATGTGTGTTATGTGTGTGGGTGTGTGTGTTATGTGTGTGGGTGTGTGTGTTATGTATGTGGGTGTGTGTGTTATGTATGTGGGTGGGTGTGTTATATGTGTGGGTGTGTGTGTTATGTATGTGGGTGTGTGTGTTATATGTGTGGGTGTGTGTGTTATGTGTGTGGGTGTTATGTATGTGGGTGTGTGTGTTATGTGTGTGGGTGTGTGTATTGTGTATGTGGGTGTGTGTGTTATGTGTGTGGGTGTGTGTGTTATATGTGTGGGTGTGTGTGTTATGTATGTGGGTGTGGATGTTATGTATGTGGGTGTGTGTTATGTATGTGGGTGTGTGTATTATGTGTGTGGGTGTGTGTGTTATGTGTGTGGGTGTGGGTGTGTGTGTTATGTGTGTGGTTGTGTGTGTGTTATGTGTGTGGGTGTGCATGCATTTTACAACAGATGCTTTGGTGGTTTTTCTTGATATTCATGATTGATGATGATTGGCACCTTTCTGTTTTTCCAGACGATAAAGTTAATTTGTGCTATGAGGAGGCATGAGACTCACAGCCCATGGCGATGGCGAGTGTGACTAGCAAGGCCCACCCGTGTCAAGAAAAGTCTTCCACAATGATAACATGAGATTTCAGGACTATTGTTGTCAACATTTGTGTTTAATCCGTTTCTTTTCAGATGCTTAGCTCTCATCCTTTCTGCAATCATTTCTTCCTTCACTCTCATTCCCTTCCTGATATGCCCTTTCCACACAACACGGTCCATGGCATTTTGTTTCCCATGAGTCCACCTCAATACCTGTATCATTCATGTTCCGCTTGCACACATCTTTATACCGTAGTAGAGGTCGGCCTCGATATCATTTTGCTGTCTTTAATTCACCATAAAGAATGTCCTTAGGGACTCTGCCATCCTCCATTCTCCAGGTGTGACCTAGCCACCTGAGCCACCTGAGACTGAGCATGGAAAAGACTGTTGTAGTAAGTTTATCCTCTTTATAGCACAAAGCCTGGGCAGTATTTTAGAGACCATATGTTGCCCATGCATCATGATCCCTCTCCCGACCAGCCTTGTTTACTCCAAGGGAAAGGTAAAACCAGTACATTTGGAACAAAACAGGCTGCAAAGGCTGCCAGATCAAAAGAGCAGTGCTCTATCTGTCCGCCTGCCAGAGCTTCCCTCCTAGACCAGCTGCCAGCCAAGGCGAAGGGCCTGGTCTGCCCTGCCATAGCAAAAAGTTTTCAGGTTGCATTTCCTCTTCCTAAAATAAGGCTGTATCCTTCCCAATGCGCTCCCCCGCACAAAGCGGTTGACCCAATATGGAATGTTGGGTTAGTAGACGGCGCCCGACATTAAATGTAACAGAATAATATGCATATTATTATATGAATATAACAAGCTTTATTTGTAAAATATAACTGCTATGTCAGAGATTGGTATCTGCAAATAAAGTTCGTTCGTACGTCCGTTCGTTCGTTCTGTTTGTCTGCCTGTCTATATGTCTTTCTGTCTATCTATCTATTTGTCTGTCTGTCCGTCCGTTCATCCCTCCCTCCGTCCGTCTGCGTTTCTTTTGTCAGTTTGTCTTCTGTCTGTCTATGCAACTGTTTGTCTGTCTATCACTGTGGCTTTCACACTGTTAACGCCATACGTTTTCTTGTCGAGTTTTTACCCTGAATGTTATCGTTCACTCAACTGACTGTACTGGCACCGCCAACCTACATACATTAATGCTCTCACTGCCAAACACACCAACAAACACAAGAGAAACGAACTCACTCACTGCTACTGCGACCCGATACTTCAGGATGTGCGTAGGGGGACGACAGAAGCACTCCAGAGTCGAGTGCCGACCTAGATTCCATTGGAGGACACGGACCAGCGATCGCCAACCTGACCTGTAACGTCTTATATAAGTTGTCCAGCGCTGTGATCCTTTCATTCACATCTTTGGTCACTGTAACGTAGAATAATAAATTAAAAGATCATTGTATTGATGTGTCTGTGATACTATTTATAAGACGTTTGGTGCTAAGTCAGACATTGCTGTGTTTATATGCTTTTAACAAAACAATTATTTGTTTTCGCCTTAACATTTGAATGTAAATAAAGCGAAATACGCGTGTTTGAGGACAGACTTGAAAAAAAAAGAGCATTTAGAACACTGACTTACACTAGTGAGCTTTCTGTTTTCAATGATATTTTTGAAACTGCATAGTGCGGAGTAGTAACTAGATAGGTGTGTGGCTAACTTGCTTGCTCGCTTACTTACGTAGTAACGAACAAACTAGCTATTTAACAAGCAAACTGGATATATAATTAGCTAGATAAGTTGCTAAAATTGACCACTTTGATTTTAAGATAGCTGAAAGTGAAAACAGTAGCAACAGCTTATAACAACAAGTCGGTTGTTTCGGACAATATAGTCTTCAGCATAAGTGTGTTAAACTGACTTCCGGGAGACGCATGGACAATCAATAATTTATGCAGTTTGACGATAATGTATTTGAACATAGTGCAGTCGGCGTGGTCACACTCTGCTGCTAAAGGGAAGCGATCAAACTTCAGCATTATTTCCCGCTTTGCGATACAGCGTTTGGCAAATGTTTTAATCCATTTCTCTCTGCTGACCCTCTCACCTGGACGTGCTAGTAGGGAATCAATGATGCAAGACCTGCAGACTCTAGCCACCCTTTTACCCGGTTGCTACAGCAACGTTGAGCAGTACTACAAGCACGTCAAGAGAGGACTACCCCCAGAAAAACGCCATTTCATGCTGAAAGCAGAAATTTACAAAATGGCGAATCCGATGTTCAACGACTCTGTGACCTTTTATTTCCAAGATTTCACCAGATCGACCTCTGAACCCTTTCGGTCAGGATTTTACAGTTTTTCAGCTGAAACCAAAATGAACATAGTTAAAATGAAGACATTTCAGTTAAAAAATAACGCTTTTATTGCCAACGCTTTTCAAAAATCCTGGAATTTCACACTGGGTAGTGACGTAACGGCAGAGGTGATATCCAGTTTAGGGTTGGACAATGGGGGTTTGAGGACCTACGGCGCCTGTGATATGTTCTGGAAACGGATGGGAGACAACACATTTATAGGAATAACCGGACCTTTGTGTCTGGGCACGTTGGGCACAGACCAGGTAAACAGCTGTCTTTTGTTGTCTTCTTCTTCTTCTTTGTGTTCATCAGCTGTTTTCGTTGTTCATCCAATTTTAGACTTCAGTCCTGTTCCCATACCTAAGTGTTGCGTGTGCATCCATTTTACAGATCTGACTTATTTGTATGCAGACTGTTGGTTCTTTGCCTCTCAGGCAGATGCACTCGGTCTTCGACGGAAGCTTCCAATTGGTCGACTCTTACGACATGCTTTTGGGTAGGCAGTGGGTCTATATCCCCCCCCCCCCCCATAATAAGCTTAGGAACCCCCAGGGAATCTTCTGTTGTAACTTTATAATGCTTATTGGGTAATAGGAAACCGACATCACGGCACTGGGGACATTCCCATAATCGCTCCGTCCCCATCTTCAGCAGCAAGCGCCAGTTTCAGTTCCGGTGGTACCAGACTGTATCTCCGTCTTGCCTTTTCCTTGAGTGTTGAGCGTCGACCAGATCCCCTGGTTATTCCATGTAAACTTGTAAACTTGCAAACGTGTAAATTTGTAAACTTGTAAATTTGTAAGATTGTCAGCTTGTAAACGTGTCAGTCTGTAAACTTGTAAACCTGCAAACGTGTAAATTTGTAAACTTGTAAACTGATATACTGATAAACGTGTAAATTTGTAAACTTGTAAACTGATATACTGATAAACGTGTAAATTTGTAAACTTGCAAACATGTAAATTTGTAAACTTGTAAACTGATAAACTTGTAAACGTGTAAATTTGCAAGCTTGTAAACGTGTAGGTTTGTGAACCTGTAAACTTGTAAACTGGAAAACTTTTTAACCTGTTAACTCGAAAACTTGAAAAGTTGTAAACTCGTAAACTTGTAAATAAAATAAACTTGAGTAAAGAACGCTGTTTTTCTCCTTTTCGTTTACCGGCTCTAAACTCCGCCGGAAAGTCCTAGTGGTTCGTCCATTTCTGGACTTCTATCTTTTTTCCGGGCTTGAGTTTGACGTGTACATTCGTTTTAAAGATCTGGATTATTTATATGCAGACTGTTGGTTCATCGCCTGTCAGGCAAATACACTTTGATATCGCATAAAGCACCCATAATTAGTCAGCTTGTGTGATATCCATGTTGGGGGGGGGGGGGGGGGGGGGGGCAGCGGGTCTGTTATTTTTCTGCCCCCCCCCCTCCCAATTTTCCCCAATCATGGTTTCAGGGAACCCACACGAAGAAAGTAAAAATAATTTTTTTTTTAAATGTAAAGAAACGTTTTTACGTCAGTCGGGCGAATGGCTCTAGACGTTTTTTTTAAACCAAAGGGCACACGATTGATGATGTAGTCAACATTTAGCCGGTCGCCTTTACCTCCCAGGACTTTCCCTGGTAGCCAGGATATTTGTGTGTTGTAGTTTGTGTGTCAGTTTTACCAGGGAGCGTCAAGGAAAACCGTACAAGTGTGACAGAAATTGCAATAATCCTGCCATTGCCTTGTAGCTTGTTAGTTTTGTTGTTAAGGATGTCAGGAGTGGGGATCACCTGACATCACGATACAGACAAACATGGTAAGGTCAAAATGACAGTTTAAAGACTGGCGCTCCACTTTTGACATGCACCAAATAGGAGCAGCATTCTGTTATCTTTTTTTTTTTTTTTTTTTAAATTAGTGAAGGTGTGAAGCTTTTAGGAATTCATCAGCGAATGAAGGCCTAGTTGGGTGAGGCATGCCTGTAAGTTCAGCAAGTGTATAAGTGAGGTGGGAAGTTTTTTTAAAAGCGGCGTGACTTTTGCGACAGACTGCTTACGACCCCAGAGTTCATTGTAGCCGATTTGAAAACTTCCCACTTCACTTATACACTTGTTGGACGGACATGCATGCACCACCATAGTGGACCTTCATTCGGCGAAAAGTTTCAATAAGTTTCTCCTCTTCGCTGACAGAAAAAAAAAATTGCTACTCCTATTTTGTGCATGTCAGAAGGGGGGACGACCATCTGTAAACTACCATTATAACGTCATCATGTTTGTCTGCACCGTGATGTCACATGCTCAACGATCTTGACATCCTTAACCTCGCTGATATGAGTGGCTGTTATAAGGGTTTCAGCTTTCTGGTTTTCCCGAGGGTCCTATAATGTCGCTGAGACAGTTCCGCACAGTACCCTCTTATAAGACCCCAGAACCCCAGTACATGTCTGCAGTACCCTTTTCCAGCCCGCAGTACGTTCTTCGGTGTCCTTAGTGCCCTATTGCAAGTTAAAAGTGCCCTATTGCAAATTAACAGAACCCTATTCTGAATCTAGATAGATCCTTTTCTACTGGTTTCTATCCATCGTGATACTACCATTCTCTAGTCTACAATCTCTGTTCAGCTGTCCCCATCCATGGTCACAACTTATCATCATGCAGCAGGTCATTTGCAGAACGTCGCTCTCATCACGGTCTGCCTGAAAAAATTCAGTCTCTCGCCAGCTCTCCCGCCTCCTGCCATTTCCACCAACCCCCCCCCCCCTCCCCTTCCACGCCCAGCTCGCCAAGAGAATTGATATGGACACAATATTTCAGTTTCCGAAACAACATGTTGTTTACTAGCCAATCATCCTTGATGTTCGGATCTTGTCAGATGTCAGTGTTTCTTGTCATCATTGGTTTATGATCTTCTGTGAGTCCTCCTATAGCATCTCAGGGCCGGTATTTGCTTCCTTAATGACAACGAGCTTTGGGAGAGAACTAAACAGGCTCCAGTGGACCAAGAGGTGAGGAAAAGACACTGACGTTGGATAGGAAACATACTGAGAAAACAAGAGAACAGCATAACTAGAATGTCTTTGCATTGGAACCCACAGGGGGATAGAAATAAAGGAAGGCCAAAAAACACATGGAGAAGAGAGCTGGAGAATGAAGTTAGAAAGATGGGGAGAACATGGGGAGAGTTCCATGTAATGACGAAGAATAAAACGACTCGGCAGGAGTTGCTTGAGACCTATGCTCCATTGGGAGATAGAAAGGCAGAAGAAGAAGTATGACAACGAGGCAGTCCACGACTCACATCTGTCTGTTGTTACATAAAAGATACATACTCTCAAGATCGTGACCTTGATTTTCTTGCTTAGGCTTAAATTACACTTTTAATGTGTTCACAAGTGATCTAATTTTTATAAATATACATCCTAGGTCCGCATCGGCGTGTCCATGACCTTAACGCCGGACAAACTGCTTCTAACTGACAGCTGGTATAAACTCACCGACGGTACTCAAATCACGGAGCTCAAAGTGCCCTACATTCTCCAAAAGTTAGCCCTGCCCAGTAAACCCGGCGCCATGACAGAAAAATCAACAACTTCTCTTCAGGATCAAATGTCCAACGACATTGATACACCAACAGAAACGAAACAATCTTTACAACAAAACAACCCCAGACATGAAAATAGCTACAAGCCCTTACGTTCGAAAACCGATAAAACCTACAAGCCAGGGAAACAAAAGAGAAGCCACAGCGAGAAAAGGACTACACAACATCGGATACTGCGTAATTTTCAACAAGTTGCTGCAGCACTAACTTCCGGTCATGATGTTTACTTCCGGGTCGAGTTGTCAGCGTGTACTATTCCACAACAAGTGAAAGTTGACAGGTTGTCGTTTGGTGGGATGATCAAAAACTTCGTCTTTGTCAGGCAGGATGGCTACAGGAACGGAAGAAAAGATTACATTTACTTTCTGTCACACAAAACTGTGATGGGAAACCAAGGTCAGTATTAGCTATTTGTAAACTACTAGACGTAAATTTGCCTAGAAAGAGAAAAAAAAAAAACACAACAGTTAAAAAATGGCTGGGGTTGGTTCTGTAATGTCCTGTAAAAGAAATGCAACTAACTTGTATTAGCTGTTTTATGTCTGAGATTCTTGTCATGTCTAAACAGTTAAATGTCTCAGCTATATAATGTCTCACGTAGACACTTCATTATATTCAGGCTAAGCACAGGGCACAACAGACTTTGCCACCTTACTTAGCACAGGGCACAACAGACTTTGCCACCATACTTAGCACAGGGCACAACAGACTTTGCCACCATACTAAGCACAGGGCACAACAGACTTTGCCACCATACTAAGCACAGGGCACAACAGACTTTGCCACCATTTACTCGGTCTAGTAAACACGGAGATGTCCATCAAGGTTTCTTACCGTCTTCTTGTTTGCCTACTGATCTACTCCCATTCCACTGTTCTGTCTACGTAATTTTTGTCCTAATGAAGATGTCTTGAAAGAAACTGACTCACGAAGAGAACTGATTGCCCTTATCAGAAAGAGACAATATACATTCTTTGATCATGTGATGAGAGGGAGAAAACTAAAGAGGCAGAGGTAGACCAAGAGAAAAATGCTGGACATCATGGGACTGAAGATCATCTGTGAATGTGTTGATTGAAAGTACACGAGACAGAAGGTTGTGGATAGACATGACTACCAACGCTACACGGTATGGACTATGGAAGGTCATCTGTGTCAGAGTTGATTAAAAGTACAACTCTAACATGTGTCCGATAAACCAACCGAAAGCTTGCCACTTGGTCGTCCATGCAAGCTGACTGCTCTAATTATGCTACCGAAGCGACTATGTAAATACACTTCGTATCTCACAGTACTTTTTGCAAAGTCACCAATGTTGTCGTGTCCCTGTCCGAAAACATCCGGTAATACGTGCAGCGGGAGAAAATCAACCCTGAGCTTCATGAACAGGTGGGCCCACTCTCTCGTGGGCCGAAACATTTATCGACAAGAGGTTCTCCCCTGTGGAGTTTCTTATTATTATATTGTCAATTGCTTGGTATCCGGACTACAGCAGATGGAAGAGATATTAAAGAAGTTTAATGTACAAAAGTTCCAGCAGAGATAGCATTTTTACACAATGAAGAATGTTCTCTGGAGTCTTTCTTTGGCTATTGAATCGAGAGAGGATATTTCTCAAGAGGTGTGTAAATCCTTTACTGATATCCGGAAGTGAATCATGGACGATGTTTGATTAGTTATCGGTTATTTCGAAGTGGCGGAGATGTGGTTTTATAGACGAATGATAACAATACACTGGACAGATAAAAAGAGTCATGTGGACGTCTTGAAAGACTCATGAAGAGAACTGATTATCAGCATCAGAAGTAGACAATCGACATTCTTTGGAGATGTCATGAGAAGGAGAAAACTGAAGTACGTAGTGACAGTAGGAAAGTTAGAGGGGAGGAGAGGCAGAGGGAGACTGAGAGAACAGATGCTGGACAGTATGACATTGTGGTATGGAAGATCATCTGTGTCAGAAGTGATTGAAAGTAAGGCATATTTTTTGAATGTTGTTACAACATGTTGATCACCATGTCTGGCAGGGCAAATTTGTAAAACATTGTTACATGGTATGCCATACATCCGTGCCACTGCAGGCTGGGAAAGAGAACACTGCCAGCCTGTATACAGTCAGTTTTAACATACATAAAAAAAAAAGTTAAGCACCCTTTTCTACGCCATTATGCGTTTAGGGCATATAGGGATAAACCTTTATTTTATAGACCCATCGGCAAAAGATGGCTGGTGTGGTCAGCATCCGCCGGCCGCTTTCACTTCCCGGGACTGCCAAGGTCATTTTTAAAAAAAAGTCCGGCTTCGCCAGGGAGCGATCCCACGATCTTCCGATTCGCAGGCGAGTGTCTAGCCGCTCCGCCACGGCGGCTCCCAGTTTTAACATACAGTATCTCCGAGGCCTCGGAGATGTGGCTTTACAAAAGAATTCTTACAATTCCTTGGACAGCCAAAAGAGCAACTCAGATGTTTTGAAAGAAGCGAGGGCTCAAAGACAGCTTATCACAAACATCAGAAAGAAACAGTCGTGATTCTGTTCGTCATGTTGTGAGAAAAAGGAAGAGGGAAACAGAAGGACGATGTGACCACTGGAAAGATCTGAGGGAAGAGAGACAAAAGAAAGACAGCGTGAAAAAATTCTTGATGGCCTTTTGTCTTGGTACAGAGGGGTGTCAGCACACGAACTGGTTCACGCAGTTGTAGATTGTAGATTGTGCACGGGCATGATCTCAGCTGATGATGATGTTTCAATCTGTTGATTCATGTACGTTCAGGCAGATTTGTAACACGATGATGTCATTTCCGCTTCAGGGCCAGAGTTCATCAGCCGGCAGCTGACCTTGCTCCGTGAAGGTCGGGTCAAGGTTGAGATTACTAAACGATTTTCTGAACCAACCAAGGTCAAACAGGGATACGCTTTTGAATGCAAACTGTACGATGACCAGAAAGGGTGAGTACTTCTTTCTTTCTTTCTATCTTTTTTTCTGTCTTTTTTTTCTCTCTGTCTGTTTGTTTGTTTCTCTGTCTGTCTGCTTGTTTGTTTGTTTCTCTGTCTGTCTGTCTGTCTGTCTGTCTGTCTGTCTGTCTGTCTGTCTGTCTGTCTGTCTGTCTGTCTGTCTGTCCGTCCGTCCGTCCGTCCGTCCGTCCGTCCGTCCGTCCGTCCGTCCGTCCGTCCGTCCGTCCGTCCGTCCGTCTGTCTGTCTGTCTGTCTGTCTGTCTGTCTGTCTGTCTGTCTGTCTGTCTGTCTGTCTGTCTGTCTGTCTTTAAATGCCTTCTTTAAATGCTCCGCTCCATAAGTACAGCCTGAAAGACTCAAAAACTCAAAGTGCTACTATTCGGATGAGACGTTTACATGAGCAAATCACATAAACCCGGTTCAACCATTTGACGCTGAGTTATATTAGAGTACCATACCGTTGGTAAAAAAAAAAAACATATATAACAAACGCATGAGGAAAATGTTGAACATAAATTGGGGTGAATTTAAGTAAAGTGAAGAAAGGAGAGACATGTGTGTATAGATAGTTATAATAGAGAGAAGATGGCGCCATGTTGGTCACATTTCTGAAACAAGACGAAAAACACACCAAACAGGCACGGGAAATGAAAACTGAGCGACTGAGGAAAGCAGGAGGTCAAAGAGAAACCCTAAAACAGATGTTGACAGAAAAGGCCAAAGCTGCTGGACTGAATTCCATACATAATGTTGAAGAGATTACACAAGATAGAAGTGAAGGGAGGAGCAGACTACGAGCTCTATGTAAGATATAATGGCACAACAGGACAATGGAGGAATCAGTGAATACCTTTAGCAAGTAGGCGACAGTTCCATGTGGTCGCATGTTTCTTCCTGAACAACTAAGGAAGAAAATGTTTGTTTAAATCTGGTTCGTCTGTGATCACCGGCGGTCAGCTCTGGCGGAAAGTCCTGGTTGTTCGTCCATTTAGACTTGGGCTGTGTGCCAGAGCCTGAGTTTTGCGTGTATATCCGTTTTACTGGCTTATTGTTGTGCAGTTGGTTGTTTCTTGCCACCGGGGCAGATGCACTCCGACCTCGTAGGAAGCTCCCAACTAGTCGACTCTTACGCATTGCTTTTGTGTGTGTGTGTGGGGGGGGGGGAGACAGTGGGTCTTTTCTGATTTAACCCACAATGGGGCCCTGGAATCCACACAATGGGGTCGCGGAATCCACACAATCGGGCCCCGGGACCCACACAATGGGGCCCTGGAACCCACACGCGGAGAAGTTTGTTCAGTGGGTGGGTATTTCTTTTTCAGCAGTTACGGAAGAAGCTGTTTGTGCAATGGATGAACAAAGTCAGTGCTAAGGTCAAGGACGCTGTTTCCTCCCTTGGCACACTGGGCGTGTGGTGCTGGATATATCTTCAGATGTACTGTTCCTTCATTTCTTCTATTTTTTCCATCATCAACATCATGGTCATAAATCACTTCTGCCGTTAAGCGTCGTGAGGAGGAATAAATTTCGATCCAGTGAACGTTGGCTGCCACTGGCTATTGTCATGCCGTGAAGGCGTAGAGTGTCTTTAATGTTTTCGATCCATGTTTTCCACAGCCGTCCTCTTGCTCTTGTAGCTGATCTTCTGAGATGTAGCGATGTGATGGTATTTGATCTTGCTACATTCTAACGACCTTCCTATAAATAAACAGAGGGGGGAACCGTTTGAGGCCGTTAAATATTATGAATTAATCAAGTAACAGAAAGTATTGTGAACGGCACTCATAGAAAGAAGTAGAAAGATAGAAGAACACACTAGACAACATAAAAATCGAAAGCTATAGTTACCGTGCCGGGAATTGAACCTGTCACCTCCAGACGGCGTCTGCGCCTCGCCATGAATACAAGTGCACTAAGATACATGGTCAACTCGGCACCCCCCAAAAAAGGTGTCTCATTGGCCATGTCTATCGTACAGCATGAAATCCACGACTATGGAATACGGACAGAATTCATTTCAACCCATTGAAATGGCACCATAGGTTACAGAAATTTATATTAACGAAGCAAATGTCGAATAACAATCACAGCAACAATTTACGAACACAGTAAGACCTTATTGCTTTGTCTAGAATACACAAACATTTAAGAAAGGTATTTGATTGGTAGGTTCCGGTGTGTATACGTCATTCCTATAAATAAACAGAGGGGGGAACCGTTTGAGGCCGTTAAATATTATGAATTAATCAAGTAACAGAAAGTATTGTGAACGGCACTCATAGAAAGAAGTAGAAAGATAGAAGAACACACTAGACAACATAAAAATCGAAAGTATTGTGAAGTATGGCGAGGCGCAGACGCCGTCTGGAGGTGACAGGTTCAATTCCCGGCACGGTAACTGTAGCTTTCGATTTTTCGTAAATTCCATAGTCGTGGATTTCAAGCTGTACGATAGACATGGCCAATGAGACACCTTTTTTTGGGGGTGCCGAGTTGACCATGTATCTTAGTGCACTTGTATTCATGGCGAGGCGCAGACGCCGTCTGGAGGTGACAGGTTCAATTCCCGGCACGGTAACTATAGCTTCCGATTTTTATGTTGTCTAGTGTGTTCTTCTATCTTTCTACTTCTTTCTATGAGTGCCGTTCACAATACTTTCTGTTACTTGATTAATTCATTACATTCTAACGAGATGGCCAAACCATTTGATCTGCTGTTTCTCAATGAATCTTGTACAAGGTGTCATTCCCACAGTTTGCTTAATGTTTACATTGTGGTTTACAATAATGCTGCGATATCTGCCTCTTTCAGCCCAACACATCCAATTTCAGCAAATCATTAATGAGCCGCTCTTCACGACATGCTTAAGGGGTGGTAAAATATCAACCCCCTCCCCGTACGGGCCCCTGAACACACACTGGGATTTTTTTAATAGACTAAATCAGCATCGGTGTATGATGTAGTCAAAGTCAGAACGGTTGCGTTAGCCTCCAGTGACCTTTCCTTTTTATTAGAAATATCCTAATCCTCCTAATCGGCTCCATGTCTGAGAGGTTAGTGAACACCTCTAACAATGTCGTGATCCTCAAGTACCAGGGCTCCATTTAGGTGCTGGACGTTTGACTGTTTTGAATCCGCTCTCGTTAGAATTGCACCATAAAATAGATTAAATCCTCACTACGCAGTATTCCCATGGACAGCAGTGGGCGGCCTTAATTGTGGGGCCGGTAAATTGCTTGCAATTGTGCCCAATGAAGAAAGACAACTGTGCTAATTACATATTCGAATAATGCGTCGAACGCTTGCTTCCCTTGTATTTACCAGGCGTTTCATCTCTTTACCCAGAATATCAATATTTTTTCATCTCCTTCCACTATGCGTTCACCTGCAAACGCCAGCGGAAAGTTCTGGTTGTTCGTCCACTTCTAGACTTTGTTCTTGTTTGAGAACTTCACTTTTCAGTCAGATAATTAATTTAAGAAAGACTGTGAGCCCTTGTGTTTGTGTCGACAGATATGGCGGGGTCAAGCTGGCCTTAGACCCGACCAGCCACATCCAGACGATCAACAGTTTCCATAACCTGGCCTCGTCTGTAGGTCATGGCCGAGACCTTCACATTGTGGCCGACCTTGCTCGGTGTCAAGGTTCAAGGAAACGGCCGGCAGTAGTCATGGGAAGCCAGATTACAAGTGAGTGTCTGGACATGTCGTTTGGTGTCTTGTCTTGTCTGGTCTGGTCTTGTCTTGGTCTCTTGTCTTGTCTGATGTTGTATTGGTCTCTTGTCTTGGTGTTTTAGCTTGTATTGTCTTAGTTTAACTTGTCTCAACTTGTCTTAGCTTTTCTGATCTTAGTTTGTCTGGTCTTGGTGTCTTGTGTTGTCTTTGTTTGTCCCGTCTTTGTGTCTTAGTTTGTCCTGTCTTAGCTTGACTTGTCCTGTCTTAGCTGGTTTCGGTTTCTTAGCTTGTCTAGTCCTCTTTTGTCTTAGCTTGTCTTAGTGTCTTAGCTTGTCTTGTCTTAGCTTGTCTTTGTGTCTTGTCTTTTTCTGTCTTGGTGTCTTGTCTTGTCTTGTCTTGGTGTCTTGTCTTGGTGTCTTGTCTTGTCTTTTCTTGGTGTCTTGTCTTGTCTTGTCTTGGTGTCTTGTCTTGGTGTCTTGTCTTGTCTTTTCTTGGTGTCTTGTCTTGGTGTCTTGTCCTTGTGTCTTGTCTTGTCCTGTCTTGGTGTCTTGTCTTGTCCTGTCTTGGTGTCTTGTCTTGTCTTTTCTTGGTGTCTTGTCTTGGTGTCTTGTCTTGTCCTGTCTTGGTGTCTTGTCTTGTCTTTTCTTGGTGTCTTGTCCTGTCTTGTCCTGTTTCGTTTTGTCTCAGCTTGTCTTGTCTTAGCTTGTCTTGTCTTGTTTTAGCTTGTCTTGTCTTGTACTGTCTTATCCTGTCTTACTTTATCTTGTATTGTTTTATCCAGTCTCGTATTATCTTATCTATCTTGACTCGTGTTATTTTGTTTTCTCTTATCATATCTCATCTTGTCTTAACTTGATTTACTTTATCATTTCTCATCTGACCTTGCCTTGTCTTACCTCATCCTGTGAAAGAATTGTTTCTCACTACTCTGCCGATTGTCCATGATTCTCTTCCATTGATTACCACACTTTACAAAGGGACATAATAACCTTCATTAGCCGTTGTTTGGTGATTCAAGAATCGACATAGCACACCGAGCATACCCATAGCTGCTCCGTCTCTCGCAGAAAATATCTAAAGATGTAGATGCTAACTGTTCCCGTAGCTCACCGATTATACACACGACGTTCGCTTCCTCTCATGCGTCCCTCCTTGCCGGATATACACTTCATTCCTTGTTCACACATTTCTTGCACGTGTTGTTTGAGCTAATCTCGTGTTTTCTAGCAGCATTTGTTTATATTCTGTCTTCACACTGTATCCCTTGTCCAGTACGAGTGGTCCCGTTGCTATCGCTTTTGTAGCCATACAATCCACTCTTTCATTCCCTCACACTCCTTTATTTCGTAAATAGTCTAACCGTGCGAGTCCCTGTAATGTAGAAGTACTGAGTCTTGGCATTGACTCATGAAAATTTTTCAGTTCTGAACTTTCAACAGTACCGATTAAGAATCAGTCACTATAATTCCTATGGTCACTCTATTTTCTGCGATCCACTTCAGAGTTGCATAAACTGCCTCCACCTCCAATCTTTCGCTTAAAGTTGTAGATAAAAAGAGCAAAGTTTTTTTCCCCCCAACAATGTCCTTTCTCTTCATTTGCCAGTTTTGTGTCACTGACGGCTTGCCTGTTATTTGTTCACAGATTATGATTTCGTCAACAACGGAAAGACAGTGGAGATTTTCATTCCTTTCGTTCAAATGATGACGTCAACATCGGATGAGACAAAAACTTCCGTGCAAGGATTTATGGGACAGATCCTGAAAAACAGCGACGTTATACTTACTTTGATTACTAACAGCCAATCCACGAACAGTTTGGATAATGTATTCAATTTAAGCTCCGCCTACCAATGCACTCTGTCTAATAGAAATGAAGTTTTAACAAACGATGTAAATGAACACAGTGTGAAGTTGTTCTACTCCAAATAAAGTTATTTTACAGTAGGGTTTACAAGTTTACAATTTAAATCAAGAAAACCCAACAAATCTACGCATTATACAACTTTTACAACTTAGATCCAGCCCACAAATTCACACTGACCAATATAATAATTCTCTTTTTCACCTAAAGCCCCGCCTATCTCTGATGTAATGCCAACCTGGTGTACCATTATGTGGAACACATGGCTCACATCCTACGCCTCCATTTCGTTCTGACTGTATGCAACCCTTTCGACTGTAGTAGATGTGTTGGCTGGTTAGCTGGTTGATCGATTGCTTCTTTGGTTAGCTGAGGGTCGGCTAGTTGGTCGGTGATTGGTTTGTTGTAACTTTCAAAATTGAACCGTGGGTTGGCTAGCTGGTTGGTTGACGAGTTTGTTGTAACTTGGTCGATCCTTCAGTCAGTCGGTGGGTTGGCTGTCTAGTTGGTTGACGAGTTTGTTGTAACTTGGTCGATCCTTCAGTCAGTCGGTGGGTTGGCTGGCTGATCGGTTGACACACTCCTGAAAGACCATGCTTTAGCTCCAAAGTCCGACGTACTGGCTGTAAGGTCGTGGACACTGGCTGTAAGGTCGTGGACAGTGGAAGCAGCTTGCATCTACTGGGGTGACACCGGTGCAAGGCTCTCTTCCTTCGGAGCCGGCACTGAAAAACAGTCTTCACGGAAACGGTGATGCAAAGCAGTTAGTTCAGTTTGTAGAAAACAAAAATTGCAAACTTGCTCCTTGTCCACTGGCTCATCGCCTTATTATGCTGATGAGGATTTTCTTTGCTTTCCTTTTTGTGTGTTGTTATTCTAATTGGTGTGCAGTGATACACATAGTGAGTTGTACGTTTTTTTTTGGTCTTTCATATTTGGTGTGGTCTTGTTGGTGTTTGTCTTCCTTTCCGTGTGTCTGTTCCTGTACTAGAGCCACTAGTGCGATCGCTGGATTTTCGGTTTCTGCTCTATCAACCCGTTTTTGGTTTGTTTGTTTTTTTTTTGTTTATTCCGCGCCCCTCCGCCCTCGGTTTGAGCCACTGCTTCTAACAATCACTTTTTATACCCCCCCCCCCCCACACACACACACACACACACACACACACACACACACACACACACACAAACATGGTGTAGGAGTATAGGAGGTAACATAGACTGAAACAGAAAAAAAAAACTGAATTTTCGAATGTTTCAGAAAACTGATAGTGAGGTCGAAGGAGTGAGAGAGAATGATAGCTTGCTAGGATGAGGAAGAAGGATCCCTGGTGCGTGTAGGTTCTGATGCGATGAAGTTTCGTGCGCTGCCTATCCCTCAGGGAGCTTGGTCTTGAGTTGATAGCCCGTGACGAGGTCCTTGGCAGTTTCAGGTCTCTTTCCCTGATTTGAAAATAAACTATAAACCCTCTTATTAGGCTTTAAACAGGTAGGGTGTGGTGTGCCTGATCGGTATTGAAGCTTGACATCTACAGAGATGCTCGGCTATGAATAAACCGATGATGAATTCTGTGTATGTAAATATGTTATGATGTGCTTGATGCGTTCTCAACTCGCTCCTGTGTCGTTATTTTGATCCGGGGTCACAATGGCGAAGTGGTCAAACCGTTTGCCTTGCGCTTTGAAATCCTGGGTTTGTTTCACAGCTACATCGTTTTATACACGAATGCCATTGTGTTTTTAAACAAATGAAGGTGATGCTCTCCACTTTAACTTTATTTTGACCGGTGTAAGTATTTGTTAATTTAAATTAAAATTATGTTGAGGAAACTGCCATTTGTGCATTTTTGTGTTGATTGTTTGATCTTCTAGTGTGTTTATTTATTTGATTTTTTTATTTATAGACTAAAAATGTTTTTAAAAGATCAATGATAATAAAGAGGGCGACAATAATAATATTAATGATGATGCGATGATGATTTTAGATGACGACATTTATAACAGCTACAATTGTAAAGATGATGGCAGTGACTGTAATGATGATGATGATGATGATGATGATGATGATGATGTTGAAATGATGATGATGATGATGATGATGTTGAAATGATGATGACCACAATGTCGACGGTCATAATGATGATAATTATATGACGATGTTAATGATGATAATGAGGACGACAGTCATGATGCTTTCACAAGCAGTCACGCACGCAAGAATTGTATCAAACCGCATGAATCGTGCTTTAAAAAATCGTAGAAATAAAAGCAGTGAACTGTGCATTAAAAAAAACTGAACGAAATGGACAAGCAGAACATTATGAAGAAAACACGCAAATCGACGTTTCGGCAGGGAACTTTCTCAACATGGACTAACTACACGAACAAAAACAAAGGGGAGATTACTCCAACCAACAGTGGCCACCTAGGGATCACATAGGAAACTTCAAAAAGATGATGTGAAAGGATTTTTTTTTTTTTTTTATAAAATAAAATAAAGGCTCAGAAATAATCATTAAAGTAATATTGATAATATACAATAATAATAAAATGAATAAAAGAGCAGTAGAAATACAAATACTAGGGTTCCGACTGGAGCTAAGGAGCTAACTGTCACAGATAAGAAATGAAATAACATAATAATATGAAATAACATTTTAAAAAGCATAATTTTTGTTTAAATTAAAAAAGATGCGACAATGGTAAAACTGCTTAGAATCGTAACAGGTAATATAGGTGGAAAGCATTGGAAAATCAGATTCAACCTCCCGCCTGTGGGTCTACATACCTGGAGATGCCGGCGTGAAAGATCATGAACGAGCGGACCAACTGGTAAGCAGTACACCAACGTATGTGGGAAGAAGCATGGACAGAGCAGATATCGTCAACGCTGTATGGACTGGGCTAGTGGACAATGACTGGTCTCTGACAATAACATAATTGCATGTAATGGGAGTAAAGCATGGTGAAGCATGTCTCTGCCGCCTGCGAGGTCGAGGTAGGAGGCGTTATAAAGAGCTTCTTGTGGGAAACAATCTTTAGAGGTATCGGGGAGTGGCCGCTGCATAGGAGGACTGAGCACACATGGGAACGTCCAATGTACAGTGAAGTCTTTTTGTCTTTTTCTTCTTCTTGTTCTTCCTGTTCTTGTTATTCTTCTTGTTCATCTTGTTCTTGTTCGTGTTCTTGTTCTTCTGTTTCTTCTTCTTCTTCTTCTTCTTCTTCTTCTTCTTCTTCTTCTTCTTCTTCTTCTTCTTCTTCTTCTTCTTCGTCTTCTTCTTTTTCTTCTTCTTCTTCTTCTTCTTCTTCTTCTTCTTCTTCTTCTTCTTCTTCTTCTTCTTCTTTTTCTTCTTCTTTTTCTATACTTCTGTCAGGAAACTTATATGAGGAGGCCGGCAGCCTTCGATTGTGACAAGGTAACAGTGACAGCAGTATCCCCGCGGCCTCAGGTGATCTATCCCTGTCTTACCCCGCCAGAAACAAACGGTACTCTAGGCCGTATTCACAGTTACCATCTACGTCAGCAGCTTTACTGTCATCACCACCAGCCTACCTGGACACTAAGTGTCTTACTGGCCTTGGCGATCACGATCTTCCACATCTCGAAATCTCAGAAACTTGAATAGTGTCATAACATATGCGTCCAGGAATGTGCTGACACGACGAAAACATGGGGGGGGGGGAAGAGGTAGAGAGGGGGGGGGGGTGGGGAGCTCTTCCTCTTTAATAATTTGGTAAGGAAAACCTCTATTCAACCCAGCCTTGATTAAGTGCATACTAATAATAATAATGCTTTGCCGTCTCCGCAATAATGTTGGCTACAGTGTACCCACTGTTGTCCTTGGTGATGTAACGTACCGAAGTCTGATCTCTTCCATAGCGCCACCTCTGTCCTACTGTCCGAAGAACGGTTTGTTCAATCGTCAGCTATGAAATGTTCTTCTTTACGTTGCTGGCGAAAACTCGGGTAGATATTTCTGGTTGTTTGTCCACTTCTGGGCTTTGCTCCTTGTCCAGAGTTGTTATTGCATATCTGACCAGCCAAACGAAACTTTTTCACGCCTTAAAGCCTATTGGGTATATAGGGCTAGATTTATAGACCAATGGGCACTGAGTGGGTGATGTGGTCAACATCGCGACTGTCGCCTTTACTTCCCATGACTACACCTGGCACCCACTCAAAGATGGGTCGACTTGGGATCATGAGTGGGAAACAAAATGAAATATTTACCAAACACTTTTTCTGTATCGTCTTGACGTTGACCAGCTGTAGACTTGGGTGGAAAGCTTTTGCTGTTCGACCACTTATGGATATTAGTCTTGTTCAAAGACTTGAGTTTTACAGATCTCGTTTATTTAAATACAGAGTGTTGGTTAATCGTCTGTCAGGAAGATGCACTTTGAGTTTAAGTAAAAAACAACAAAACAAACACACATACTCACACGCGCACATAGACAGGCGCGCACACACGAACACACACACACACATACACGCACACACACAATGCACTTATAAACCTGGTTAGAGGATCTGAGTAGCTTCCCAAAGAATTTGTCTAAAAAAGTGGAGGCCTCAGCTCGTCCCTACCATCGTTCTGGGGGAGGGCCTCATCTCGTCTGTACCATCATTCTGGGGGAGGGCCTCATCCCGTCTCTACCATCTCAGGAAGTCATAGCCACCAGGTGCCATCGCCCAGTCAGTGTAGATTGAAAACAATAACGAATTCACACAGCGGGGCGAGAATAACTGGAAAGAAACGAAACAATCACTTGACGAAACAAAACACACACAAAAACTTTTGCAAAGTAGTGTACTTAATGATTGCAGACCGTATGCATAGCACATTGATTAGACAGTGTGTTGTAAAACAAGGATGCTGGCTACAGGCTGCAGGCTCTCTGCCCTAACCTACCTGTGTTTTTACCTGTTGGCTTGATCGTCAGCCGGGCGGACCGTTGTGGGACATCACAGCTGTGACACTAGACTACCGCAGGCGTGTCACGTGGTCTAGAGGAACCGTTGTGACCTAGTTTTGTTGGGAGGAGTTTGTGGCTATCTCTGTCTGGTTGT